TAACTGAACACAATTTTTGGCATGAGCGCTGGGCAGCGCGCTCGGGCGGCTGACTATTCGAGAGCAAGGTGTCTATTGTTGCTCTGGTACCCGGGCGTGCGTGTGGAGCTGCTCAACAGGTGGTGTTCAACCATGACGCCCTCCCCTCTCTGCCCAACTGTCTGGCATAAACGGGTCCGTTTAAAAGGGAGTAGTGGAGCTAGTCTTGCAAATTAAGATCCACATCAAGGGAGTAAAACCAAGAAGGATTTGAGTGAACATTTATTTCTCCATTCATATGAATTGGAAACTAATCTAACAGATATATTGCTTCTCAAATTTCAGCTCTTAGTTACACTGATGTTAAAGTTTGTCGCGCAACACGCTGACCATCTTCCACGTCTTTCCAAGGGCGTTTCCTGCCGCGGCGAGGCTGAGACGCCCCAGTCCCCTGCAGTGGAGGGCGGGTGAGCTGCTAGCGATGCGCATGACGAGGCCGAGCGCGTGAGCCTCGTGGAGACCCACGCTGCCGCCGATGGAGGCGTAGTAAGCGGCCTCTGCCAATGAGGCGCTTGAGTCGGACAGCTCCTGGCTAAGGTACGAGAACTGGAGGAAGTCATTAACCAGAGGAAACAGGAAGTTAACCGTCGTGAAGCTCACATCATCTTCAAGCACCTAGGCAAAAAAGCAAGGTGCAACTCTGTTATTTGGACAGGTTGACTTTAAACAGTTTTTAGACAGTCCCCGCCAAGATTGTCTCTATTTGGTATGGCCGAGGGGTGGCCGACTCGCCTGAGCCGTGTACGGAGTAATTTGTATTATAGGTATTAAAAAAGAAGTACAGAATATTATGGGTATGATAGCATATTATAAGTATTTTAGAATATTACAGGATAGTATAAATATTATAGTATTCTAAAATATTACAGACTATAATAGTATTATAGCCAGTATTATAAGGTATTTTAAGATACTATCAAGTGTAACAGGTTATTCTTGTAAGCTAGAAGTTCTGGTGACACACTCCAGATGCTTAACAATTGCTTAAGATTTACATACGTTGACCACTTAAGCCCCATCAAAGTTAAGCTAATACCCTATTGAAAACGTTTTCGCCCGATATGAGTCCGAAGAAGGGACAGTCCGCCTGAAGCCCGAACGGACAGCTCGAAAATAGTTCCGGAAAGCTCCCTCTTCGTCCAGTTTTTGGAAAGTCCGAAAAAGAAGGAACCCTCCGTCGGTCTAGCCCGATTTAAGTCCAGAATGTTCCAGAACCAGACCAAAAAAATAAATACCCCTACTGAGCCAGGATTCGTTCCCTTATATCTCGGACTCCCTTCTTGTGATGTCGACGCCTTAGACCGCTGAGCTAACCCGGATCGCTGGAAGAGGACCGTTCGGCAAGCCTCTTTACCCGAGGCCCGAACAACGCACTGTAAGTGTATGTACAATTTTTGGAAATAAAGTGTTTCTTCGCGATTTAATAGTCCATGAGGTCATTTTCACCTCATTTTCGTCAAGAAATGCCCCCTAGCACTAAGGTGTAATGTAGATAGGTGGTCGCAAGCGGGCGAGAGTGGGGGAAGGCAGATCCTTCGCGCCACTCCGCCGATCGGTTTGAAACGTGCTGAGTGCACGCTGGACCAGGTATTAGCAGGTAGCAAAGGTCGGCTTTAGGCCGGGCGGCCGGGCTAGGGTCGAGCCTTCAGCCTCACGAGGGGCGGTGCCGGGCCTTTCCTGGCTCCTTAATCACTTTTGAGTACCCGGCGGCGCGCGCGCTGGCCTGACAGTGGTTGACACGGAGATGCGCAGTCTGTTCTGCGCATGTCAGATCCACCAATGAG